ACCGGTAGTTATACTAATACAACTTCAAGCTAACTATGGTATCTATAACAATTGCGAAAACAAAACAAACTCTCTTAATCACAAAAACAACAGGTCTTATAAACTATTATAATCTGTATATAACCACTATTTATATACATATATTATTTAATTTTTATATATTTTTTAATTTTACTCACTTCATTCTTCTTAATGAATTCAGATACACCTGCACTAACCTTTGCTAGCTTATCAGTATATTCATTCTTCAACCGCACTAATTCACTTTTATAGAACTCATCCTTATCTTCGTTATAACGCTGTAAAAATATTTAAAAAATTTTATTTTAAAGTATTTCTTTGCATTAAACTATTAATATTTCAATTAATATTAAAAAATTCAATCTTGGTTTTAAAACCAAAATAACCCATTCAATAATTTTTCATAATTATTAGCATGCATTACCTTATAATTGTTTATGGTTCGCTTTGCTGAATTGTAGTTTTTTTGTAAAATTCCAGTCGCCTCTTCGAAATCATGTTTCAAATCCTCAAATTTCTTCTTCCAGTTAATTTCTTCAGCATTTGCTTTGTCACGATGAGCTTCCCATTGCGCCATTACTAGTTTCATAGATTGACGTTCTGCTTCTATTTGCGACTGTCTTTTATGTAGTTCCGACGTTGCATTATCTATTTCCTTATTCTTGTGGTTCAATTCTTCACGAATACTTTTTAGCAGTGTTTTTTGTTTCTTTTCTAATTCCTTGATTGCTTCATCTTTCTGAGATATATGTTTGACGGTTTCTTCACGTTCAGTTAATATAGCATGTTTCAATAGTTCCACCTCGTTCTGGCTTTGTTGTAAATTATTGAGTACATGCTGATACTCACGCTGCAAACATAGACATTTTTCCTCATTTTGTTGTAGTTTCAGTTGGACACGTTTAATTTCCACTGCAAAAATTTTAGCCATTTCTTCTCTAATACGGGATTCGATCTTTTGTACTTCATTCTTCATCAATTCTGGTGTTGTAGAAACGCTTTTATCGCTGGACACGTGTTCTTTGGTAGTACTATGTTCCGAGCTACTGCTGTGACTTTTTATATAACCTTCGAATTTTTGTGCCTTTGTTTTAAGTTCTTTTATCAGTATTTCTTGCTGTTCGCTTAGCTTCATTTTCTCAGTAAGTTCAGCCACAAGTATTTTGGTGTTCTCAAGCTCTGCATTAAGTTTGATAATCTCTTCATTTTTTTCTGAATTAGTGCTGGTTAGTTTTAGATTCGCAATTTCATGCTGAGAAAATTAAATATAAAAGAAAATATTATTAAATAATAATAACAATTTTACTATTGGCAATCTTTGTCTTACCTTGGTAACTTCTGTCATCAGATCAATACACTTTGTGCAGTTGTTCGAGCTTTCCTTGGCACTCTTAAAGCGGTTTGTGAGTTCTTTTTCAATTTTTTGCTTTAACGCTTTCATTTCTCGTTCGTGGCATACTTTTTCGGTTTCTAATATTTTGGCCAGTTCCGACGATTTCATTTCCGTTAACTGTAACGCTTTTTGTAGAGAAGCAGTCTTTTCACGCTCTTCATTTAATTCCTTAGCACTGTTCATTTTACGCATTTTTTCGACCTCAAATGACAGCTCATCTTTAGAATTCGCTATCTCCAAGTATAGTTTTTTTAAACGATCACACTCAGATTGCGCATCCTTGAGTAAAAATTTCTGTTTCTCCAGCTCAAGTTGGAGCGCATTGTCAGCAATTGCGCGAGTATGTAATTTTTTATTTTCCGCAACCAACAGTTCGTAATTTGCTTTAAGACTATCGTATTCTTGTTTCAGCTCTTCCAAGTCAACTTGTACATTCTTTAACTTTGCGTCCAGTTTTTGACGCTCTTTTTCATTGTTGCTTCGTACACGTTCTAGTTCATTATGTTGTTGTGTTAACCACATTTTTTCCTCTTTCAACTGCAATAACTCTTGGTTGAGCTCTTTAATTTTCGTATTATTATAAGTCTTATCTAACGAACTGCTGGCCAATTGTTTACATTCTTCTTCCAGCATTAATACTTGATTGTGCAGTTTGCATCTCTGTTCTTTCAAGGTTGTGATTTCGACAAGTGCAGCATTTTCTTTAGTTCTATATTTATCTAATTCTGCATTTTTATCTTCCAAACATTTTGTAAGCCTACGTATTTCTTCCCGCTTACTTTTCACATTTGACAAAGCACGATACAGTTCGTCTTTAAGATTTTGTACTCGATCCATTGTGGTAAGTGGTGTGCTAATCGTTTTCATACGTGTTGGACTAAGCCTGTTATGCATACTATCTTCAAGATTGTGCTGCTGTAAAACGCTATCCATAACGTCCAATTCTGCTGAAGTAAAGTCTAAACGTTCACGTAATGTGCCAATAGTTCTCTCCATTGATTGTATTTGATCTTCAAGATTAGTTACTAACTTCTGTAAGCGTATATTTTCCTATAGAAAAAAGAATTAAATAATTTTTTATTATTTTTTGTTTTGTAAATATGTGCAAACCTGCAAATAATCTGGCTTTGTTAAAAGCTCCTCACACTTACGCTGCGCCTCACTGAGTGCATTAGTTAAATCATTTATTTTGCTGGCTTTATCCACCAACATCGCTTCATTGCTACTTTGTAATGCATTATAACGCGTTGTCATACATTCCAAATCATTTGACTTTTTCTCCAATTTACTTTTCAACTGCTCCATTTGTTGCAGTATCAGTTCATTTTCTGCGCGCTGTCGTTCTTCCCATTGCTTACGCCTCTGCTCAGCACTCCTATCGTGTTTTCTAAACACATCGCGTTCCACCATGTCGAACTTTTGTTGTAGATCTGATAATATAGCCTGTGATGTTTCTAATTTTCCCAGCAAGGCTTGATTCTCATTTTCTAAAGATCTTTTTTCAGACTTGATTTTCTCAATTGTATTTTCTAAATTGGAGCATTTTTCCTTGCTCTCCACTAATAACTCATACGTGCTTTCTTTTGCAGAAAGAGAGTGCGATAATTCTGCTTCAGTT